CTGTTGAAGAAAAGAAAGGAAAGATGTCAATTTTGATTTTAAAATTTAAAAACATGAAGTTTAAAAAATGAAAATTGGGCCAGGGATTTAGCTCAGTGGCATAAGTACCTGCCTGGCAAGCACAAGGTCACGAGTTTGATCTCCAATATAAAAAAATAAATGAATAATGAAAATCGTGCTCCCTAGACACTACAGAGTTTAGAATGAGAATAATTTACACCTCAGGAATATGATATTTCAGTGGCTTTAGGGAAGCCACTGGCAATTCCATTTTTCTCTTCAGTTATCATTTGAGGCCTGGCTGTATTCAAACAGTAAACACATGACTTTATCATTGGATTTCCTTTCAGATATAATGAACTCAGGATCTACTAACAAAAATGTTCATTGAAAAAGAACATGCAATATATAATTACAGACTTAGCATTCCATTTTTCCTCATGGTGACCAGAAAAACAAACAAACAAAAAAAACCCTTACTTTCCTGAATTTTTTTTTTTTATCAGTACGCGGGATTGAACTCATGACCACCTGCTTGCAAGTCAGGTGTTTATGCCGCTGAGCTAAATCCCCAGCCCCTTCTGGATTAATTTTTACCTAGTGCTTCTCTATCTGTAAAATGCATTCTTTACTTTTCTTACCTTAGAGTATTTCAGAATTCTGAATAATGCTTAATCTTTTTACACTTTAATGTTGATGTTTTAAAAATAGTAACATGGATAGACAACTTTTCTCAAAATAACTGAGAAACAGTGTAATAGCCTTTACAAATTATGATTGGTCAAGAATTTGACCCTGAAAAGGATAGGACAGAACTGTCTTCCTCCAGGCAGTCTTGTGGAGTAGGGCTGCTACCTCTACCGCCCTCCATCCTCTGGATTACCCTGGAGTTTTTGTGTTTTTATGGTGTTGGGGATTGAACCCAAGGCCTCTCACATGTCAGGAGCCTTCTACACTGGGCTATATCCTTAGTTCCTTTATAGTTTTATTTTGTGACAAATTCCTCAGAGTAGCCTTGAATTTGCATCCCTATTGCCTCAGTCAGCCTCCCCAGCAGCTAGGATTACAGGGGAGCACCCCTAGCCTTGGCCTAAGGATGGATTTTTATTAAAAAAATGAAATTAAAATTTAAAATAACACTATCACTTGATGAGTGAATGCTGATCACATAAAATGTTGACCCATCTCTTCCAATTTTGCTGAACCTGGAGAGACCACACAGTCATATCTTTTGGATCTACTGGGGTGTTGCAAGTGGACAGGGAGTCCACTCTCAAAGCCAAAGCCCTGATTAAGGTCAACATGAGGCTCAGAGGAGCCAAAAGGAGTCACTGGGTCTACCACACAAAGATCCAGAGAGTCAAGCTGAGCAGTTACCCGAATGCAACGTGTTACTGAGCATTTATTAAGCCAGAAGAGAGCTCGCAGTGTAAACTGGAGGCTAGAAGCAGCACCACAGTGTGGCATTGTTCACTTCCACTCAGCCACCAGCCGTGAGGACATGGAGTGCGAGGTGGGGAGGGACTGGCAGCACTGGAACACACACGATCTGAGATTGAACACAGGGACTCACAGTGATCCCGACACCAGCACAGGGCGTGAGCCAAATGGGGCATCTCAGCCAGGCACAGTGACAGAGGGTCACAGACAGTGGCAGAGCTCCAGCATGCATCGGTACGTTGGCAGTACCTCGGGCAAGGACCACAGTACTGAGTCAGAAGACTAAGCTAAACAGCAGCCAGAGGTTTTGTCTTTTATGCCACAGGGAGTTTAGTACAAACAACATGTGCTCATCACCTAGCAGTAAAAATATGTTCTTCTTGAAGTATGGTAAAAACATATTTTCAGAAACTATTTTTCATGTTTCTCTAAAGGGGTTCACGAGGTAAGGTTGGCACATGTGCTATAAGGTTATCACACCATATGGTTTCCACACAAGTTATCATACAGGCACACCAGCTGTATGATTATCACACTGATCACAAGCTAGTTCAGACTCAGAAAATAAGTTTAAAGCCAGACAGAAGCATAAGATGACTTTGGTCCTGCTCACATCAGAGGGGTATAGTCACAGGGAAGGGGAAAAAGTTGTAGAAGTATTCTGGATACTTCTGCTCTCCTGACAATGACTTCTGCATACAGAAGGTATAAAGGAGGGAGGTCAACTGGGGCAAGATAGTAAAGTAGAGATATAGGAGTGGGGTGTACTGGCATATACCTAATAACCCCAGCTGCTCCCAAGGCTGAGGCAGGGGATCACAAGTTCACAAATTCAAGTCTAGTGTGAACAACTAATTGACACAAACACAAAAGGGGGAGCCCGGATATGGTTCAGTGGTAGTTTTTAAATGCACAAGGCCCTGAGTTCAAATTCCAGTTCAGTGCAAAGAAAATTTTAAAAAGTGGAAAAGTATACTACAGGTAAACAAGCACTACTCCCTTCTTTCCACCTTGGACTTCTTTCTGCGCTTCTAAAACTTTTTTGATTCATCATGGACCTAGAGGTTAAAAATATAAAGTATATTAAGATCTCACAAAGCCATCTTATTGGAGAGGAATGGCCACTCTCTAAACAAAAAAAAATTTCCACCAGGAAATTGTTTTTAGCCAGCCATGATGACATATACCTATAATCCCAATACTTTTTTTAAAAATCTTTTTTTGAGATGGTATCGCTATGCAATTCAGGCTGGCCCTGAGCTCATTTTGTAGCCCAGGCTGGATATGAATTTGCAACAACCCTCCTGCCTCAGCCTTCAGAATGCTGGGATTACAGGCATATGCCACCATACCCAGGTTTTGTTTTGAGAAAGTTTCACTGTACAGTTCAGGCTGGCCTCCAATTTGCAGCACTCCTGCTGTCTCAGTCCCCAGAATGCTCCAAGTGCTAGGATTACAGAAGTGCACCACCATGCCTGGCTAATCTTAACATTTGGGAGGCTGAGGCAGGAAGATTGCCAGAAGTTAGAGGCCAGCCTGGTCTACATATCTCAAAACAAACAAACAAATTGTCTTTAAAATAAGTTAAATTACTTCTGACATCATCACAAGTACAGTTGAACTCATTGAAGCCTGACATTTCAGTGGCACATATAATCAATCACAATTTTTGGTTTTTACTTTTTATTTTAAAATAAAACTCAAAACAAGTTGTAGAAGTAGCAGCATTCTGGTGTACCATTTACTTAACTTTCCCCAATGAGGACATCTTACAGAAACATAGATTATCAACATAAGTAAATAGGTGTACCATATATTTGTGTTTTTTTAAAGAACTAAAGATACTTTAAAAGTTTAAAAAAATACTTTAAATGGCTCCCGGATATTGGGGAGAAGAGCCCCTGAAAGCGTCCGAATCCGAAGGAAAAAAGTATCAACCAGAGGGGTTCAATGTATTAGCCAGCACCAGAAAGCCACTCTATGGATTCAATATTCCAAACAGAGCGAGCACGGGCAGAATTGAAAAACTGGCAGCACCACCTCAAATCAACTTCTGCAGGTAATAGACTTTAGTATGTATAGTATATATTAAAAGCACAGTGGTACATTCCTATAATTCCAGAAAATTGGAGGCCAATGTAGAAGGATCAAATTGAAGCCCAATTTGAGCAGACTTGGTTTCAAAATCAAAAATACAAAAAGCCGGCGACATGGTACAGTACCCCTGGGTTGGATCCCCAGTACGAGCACTGAGACAGAGGAGAGAGTAGAGATTTTATTAAATGAGTATAAGGTATTTTTAACCTTTTAAAAATATTACTACACTTGAGCCGGGTGTGGTAGCTCACGCCTGTAACCCCAGCATTTGGGAGGCTGAGGCTAGAGGATCTTTGTGAGTTCCAGGCTAGCCTAGGCTACAAAGTGAGCTCAAGGCCAGCCTGAACTGCATAGAGACCCTGTCTCAAAAAAGACCAAAAAAAAAAATTACTACACTTTTTGGTGACAGCACTGATAAAATGCATACAGATGGGGCGTGGTACCGCAAGTCTGCAATCCTAGCACTTGGGAAATTGAGGAAGGAGAATCCACTCGGATTGGAACCCAGTTTAGACTACAAAATGAGGTCAAGGCCAACCTTAACATCCTGTCTCAAAAACAAAAAAATAAAATGTACCCAAATTCTCTTTGTTCTACAGATGCAAGTTTCTATGTACTTTTCAGAGTGTAACCACCTAAGCCTTAAAGCAACAACCCTCACCCATGGACAACACATCCAGTCTCAGAATAGCAACAATGTATATAAAGACAGTAGCACAAATCAAGATGTATACCTTTCCTTCCAATATTTTTAGTACGGTACTTTGGATCAGTACGATTGTTTTTCATTTAAAATGTGACACAATTCTGAGAAATGCTGGCTATTAGAAGAAAAAACCTGAGACTGATTTCTCCCATTTTGCTTAACTGCAGCAAACACGAATGAATACTCCAGGGCATAATCAAGTCACCTCTGTAAAATCCTCCTATTAAGATTATTTTTGGAACTAGGAAGGTATTTTCCAGATTAAAGTCACAGCGCGGCCCTGGCAAGGGCCTGAATGTCGCCACGGAGCTCGCGAGTGGCCGCCGCCCAGCCGCTCCGGAGCCAGGTTCTCCAGCAGCACCAGGTCCGGCTTCCTCCGAGAGCGAGCTTTCCGTGGGATCGACACAGGCGCGTTCCTGTTTCCGACCAACACTCCAGAGCAGCCCTCTGGGGACTGCTCGCCGGCCACGTTACATCACAAGTTCGTCCTCGCATACCAGTTACAAGTGCCCGGCCAGGGAGGGCGAAGGTCGGCCTGAGCTCCTTTCCGCGCCGCCGCGCGAAGGGACCTGCGTTTCAGACAAATCGCTAAACTCCCATGCAGGGACACTATTCTGACAACTTTATCTTGGGGTAAGCTATTTTCGTAAAACTCGCTGGTTTCCGATAACTGAATACTGCACAAGCCAGGCGGCCTCGCCCAGTTTCAGCTAGCGGCCTCTCCGCATCCCGCAAGCAGACTGAAGGCCGCCCTGGGCCCGCACAAAGCGGCGCCGGCACAGAGGGCGGGGCGCGGCCTGGAGGGACTCGTTGGCGCGCGCCGGCCGGCGTGGTGACGTCAGGGCGGAAGCGCACGCTGCGTGAAGCGGCCCAGGACCCGGCGGTCACGGGAGTATCCGTCGCGCCGAGAACACTGGTTAGTCTCACTCTGGGTTCCGGCTGCGTTGGGCGTGCGTGCAGCTCGCAGAGACTATGGCGTCCGCGCCTCACCCGACCTCGACCGCTGCCGCTGCCGCCGCTGCCGCCTCGTCGACCGCCCCAAGTGCGGGCGGGTCCAGCTCCGGCACGACGACCACGACGACGACCACGACGGGAGGGATCCTGATCGGCGACCGCCTGTACTCGGAAGTTTCGCTCACCATCGATCACTCACTGATCCCGGAGGAGAGGCTATCGCCCACCCCGTCCATGCAAGACGGGCTGGACCTGCCCAGCGAGACGGACTTGCGCATCCTGGGGTGCGAGCTCATCCAGGCCGCCGGCATCCTCCTCCGATTGCCGCAGGTTAGTATCCCCGGCCGGCCGGGCCCGCCTCTCCTCGCCTCCCCGCGGCGGTATCCAGGGCCCCCTGGCCCACGGCCCTTACTGGGCCCCGGCGGGAGCTTGGGCTGGCGGGGCGGAGGCGGAGGGCGGCCGCTTCGGGCCGAGCGCGGCGGCGGGAGGGGGAAGGGAGGCGAGCGGCGGCACAAAATGGCGGCTCGCCTGGTGCGGGCCCGCCTGACCCCTGCGCTTCCGTTCTCCTCTCTTGTCTGCAGGTGGCGATGGCAACGGGGCAGGTGTTGTTTCATCGTTTTTTCTACTCGAAGTCCTTCGTCAAACATAGTTTCGAGGTAAGCACTGCGGAGGCGGGCGAAACGGGATTTCTTCATCCGGAAATGGGGGGGTCGGTGTCGGCAACCAGCTCTTCCCGAAAGGGAGTGGTTAGTTTAAGCCTTTGTACCTCCTCCTCGTTCGCCTCGGGGTGGGGACCCACAGGATGTGTTTCAGAAACTAAAAAATAAATCTTGAGCCCATGTGAGCTCTTCACTGGGAATTAGTTTCCAATTTAGCGTACTACTCCCGTGAGGTTTAACTTGATTCTGGGTTCATAGTTAGGTGTATTAGTGGCATAGGTGAAAAGCCTGTTGACTAGTCGCGTTAATTTTAATTTTTCACCAAAGGTGTTTTCAGTTGGATTGTGAAATTCCTAGATAAAAATGAGTTTTGTTGGGCGTGGAGGAAGGACAGAGAGGCTAAAGGAGGAGGATTGCTGTGAGTTTGAGGTCAGCGTGGGCTAAGTAAGCCAGCATAAACTCTGTAGTAAGGCCTAGTCTCAAGACAATAAAAAATTGTTTAGACTTTGAAGAGAAATACTTGTTTCATTATGGTAAGTTATAGTTTAGTACCATAACAGTTATTTTTGGCCATCTGTGGGTTCTTTCAGATTGTTGCCATGGCCTGTATTAATCTTGCATCAAAAATTGAAGAAGCGCCTAGAAGAATAAGAGATGTGATTAATGTATTTCACCACCTCCGCCAGTTAAGAGGAAAAAGGTAAGATTGTCATTATTAAACATAACACTCTTGTTACTGCTGTACTGTGCACCAGTCATCAAAACATCTTTTCTCTCCAGTTAGCATGGATGCTAAAGAAAACATTTTAAATAAGGTGTTTAGGTCTGTATAGGGAAAACTGAGATTGAAATTAATTTGGGAAAACCCCAGTTAGCCAGCTATGCAGAGTTTACAGAGGAAGTTGCATTTGTGAATATTCTTTACAGTGCTGTGAAGCTGGCCCACTAAGATTAAACAAGAAAGGGAGTACGTTTGGTTCAAGTGTGAGTGTATTCTGTAAGTTTATGTTCCCCCTCCGTTCTGTAGAAGACTGAAGGCTGGATGTTTAAACACTGTAGTCAAGTTAATACTGTGGTAAAGTTCTGTGTAGATTGTTTTCCATCTGAAGTTCCAGTTAATTCTTTGTGAATTGAGGTTGGCTTGTGTTAAGAGTGCTACACAACATTGAACTACGATGTATCGCATAATACCGGATCTGAAAGGACTGCAGGATGATAAAGTTTGAAGTCAAAGGGATTAAACAGGTATTTTGTTTCGGTCAGATACAGTCTTAGTGAGTGGGTGAGAAAAATAACTTAGTCGTTTTCGGAGTTAGCCCATTTATTTGATCTTTTAGAAAAGAAGCAGAAATGGTATTTTTTAGGTATTGTGATAACCTGGTAACTTAGCGTGAATCTGTGTGTTTATCTGAGGCGGTACAAAAAGTTTGTTACAGTACTTTCCTTGTCTACATATGACTTCTAGCATATTCTGTGGAAGGATATCCATGGTGTAGATTAGTGTTTGTGTTAATGCCAAGGAACTGGTGATGGTAGATAAACCTGTACTGAGTGTGAAAGGGAGTTAGAAAGGGATTGTAAGTTTGGGGTATTGAGTGTTCAGTGCCAAATTCGTATTCTGCATAAGTAGTCTTATTGGCAGAATTTATAAGTTGGCAGTAATGGCACTACTGAGAGAGGCAAATAGTGAAGTAACTTTAAAATGATTAGCCTACTCAAAGTTTGAAGTATTGCTATCTGAATGCTGTTTTATAACATTTTGTAGATTTCTTAACTCCTTTTTCACTGCGTCTTGTCTTAGTCTATTCAGAAATAGAGTAACTTTCATTTCATATTAAAGTATCTTTAGATTTTGGTGAGGAATCATTGAGAAATGGCAAGACTTTCTTTTGTGGTTTGGCTTGGTCTGAGTTTATTTGTATTTAGATGTGTCACTTGATTTTTTTTCAGGGTGTTTTAAAACAGAAGGACATTACTATAGGGCCCTGAAGTCAGTGGGTTCTGTTTGCATAAAGGAAGTATTGTAGTTTCTGGTAGTCTGAATCATTGAACTAGCTGTTTGTGTTGCTTTTTAAATTTCCCTTTTCCTGCTAGACCTAAGTTTTCTTCCTTTATATCAGAATAAGGTCTTCTGAACTGTAAAAACCTTGCAGTTTAAAATAATCCCATCTGACTATCTGATGTGACAGTGCATTTTTTTGCTCATTACAGAAATTGAATTTGTGAAGTCTTGATTAAAGCATGAAATTTTAAAGGACTTTAATTGCATGGAAGCTCCTCCTTTTTTTTTTTAAAGCAGGATGTAAAAGTGTTTCTATGCATATTACAAGTTTACTCAGACGTGTAACTTGTATATGTTATTAACTTCGACTCTTTTTTCCCTTGCAACCGACTATACAGCGACCAGCTACATTTACCAAAGCCTGGGTGATGTGGAGTGGTACATAGAGATGAAGCTGTCGTCATGGCAACAGTGAGTGAAGTATCGAAAATCCCCAAGGAGAAGCCAGTGCTCTGAGAATAGGTCACTGGAATCGGGGACTAACAGGTTGGCCACTGGTGAACCATTTAGAAAAACTCCTGTTTCTTGTTATAAGCTTTTGTCTTTGCTGTCCAAGTTATTAGAACTATAGTAGTTTTTTGTTTTGTTTTGTTTTGTTTTGTTTTGGTATAGGTTAATGTTATTAGGAAGTATCATTGATATTATACCTTGTTTTGGGTAAGCAAAGCAGTAGTCTCAATTTGCTTTAGCCCTATTTGTGCATGACTTTCTTGTTTGACCTTGAAAATGTTAGTGAGATATGTAGCCTTTGTCATTGTCTTTTGAGTCTTGACTACATAATAAAGTCATCAGGGGACCATTTTTAAAGTACCAGTGTCTAGGCTTCCACATGTGTTAGTGGGTCTGTCCCCTTTCAGTTTTTTGTAGTTTGATAATTGTCTGTGATGTTCAGAATAAGTGGCTGAATTTAAAGGAAAGGTTGTTCTCTTCATTTCATTACTTTCCAGATATAATTTACATTTTTCTGTGTAACATTCTCAGTAGTAAAGGATTTTTGTTTGTTTGTTTGTAACAAGCCCAGGCTTATACTTCAAACATGTTAAAAACTTTCGAGGATTGGATTAACTGCTCTTAATGGTGACTGCACTGTGGTATTTTCAGTGTATCTAGAGATCCTAAGAGTTGGAAAGGTCTTAAGTGATGTACTTATTTTTAGTCCAGTAACTTCCTGCAGTTCATTTGTATGGCTATACGGGTGGCTTTGAGTTTAAACACCTTAAAGAATTTCTGCTTCTTTTGAAGTAGATATTGCAAAATTCTGTGTGTTTGTGATTCATCTGCTTTTACCCTAGTGCCTTGAACTAGGGTCAGTCTGTTCTGTAACACATGAATGAGAGTAACCATGTTTAGACCTCCTATCTCTTAATTTTTTTTAGTTGTTGAGTTAATATTTCAGTCAGATTGGTTGTGCTAAAGAAATGCAGCTAGTAGGTAAGTTTTTAATTACCAACGTCAAGGTTTCCTCGTACTTGAAAACTGTTCTTATATAAGTTAATCAGAAAAGTCTGACAAAAGAAAGTTCAAGGAGAGGAGTTTGACAGTTTGATTCATTTTTGAGTTTCTTTAAATCAATGAGAAGCCCTCCCCCCATTTTTAACTGCCACCTTTTCAAATCATGTATTTGCAAGCAACATTTGTCTGACTGAGGAAGACACTTTTTTGTGGCAAGTTTTAACGATGTAATGAATTGCTACAAAAAGTAGCAATACTTTGTTACATAAATAAAACTAATTATTACTTGTTTGTCCTGCACATTTTCTTAGTGCTGATTTAAGATACACAGTAATCTTTGTAAGACATTTGTAATTTTGTATGAGCCTTCTTTGATTTGAGAAGTAAAAACTATTTCTAAACAAAGTGATAGTGTCAATTTTTATAGCTACAAAGTTAACATTGAAACTGTAGGCAATGGAAGGACTAAGCAACAAGTAGAACATTCAGTTTTAATTACAGTATCATTGTGGGTTTTGTTACCTGAGTGTGTCTTGTTTGAAGTCATTGAGATTTTGACATGCATAAATTGCACAATTAAGGCAAAATAGATAAAAAACAGTTTAAGCAGAAATGAGTAGTGAGTCTGATTTGGGACCAGATAGCCATAAGTCAAACAAGTGGTTTAGCAGCCTAATTCAAATAACATGAATTTTATCACCATTTGAAGGCAATTCTGAAAGCAAGATTTCTTAGTAAAAACAACAGATAATTTCAATCAACTTGATGGAGGAAAATATGACAGAATTTTTGCTTTTCATAAAGTGTTTAGAGATTTTAGTGGTGCCATTTACAGTCTGGGTTGTAAGTTGTTAGGAGTTAGGTGGTGTGCAGCTGTAACACTGGAGCTTATCTCTTAGTTCCAATTGAAGAACCATAAGTAATTCAGTTGTGTGATGATCATTACAGTCTGAAGTGGAAATTTTTTTTCAGATTTCTTGTTATAATTTGAAAACTCGTAAGCCTTAATTAAGATCTTTGGACCTTGTTTTTCATATGTGTTGGATGCTTTTTAAAAGTACTTTGTTGCCTATGTCATTAAAAAATTGCTTCGTTGTTTTAATGTTAGCTACCTGTTTCTCCAAGTTGATGGCCTTACTCTTTATATCTTTTTATAGCTGTCATAGCAGTTGAGTTTTTTGAAAGCCATTTTTCAGCATTAGTAAATGTCTTGCTAGTTCTTTTTTAGCTCTCTGAATTTTTTTTTTTTTTTTTTTGGTCTTTTTCCTTTTTATTGGTACTGGGGATCGAAGTCACGACTGCCTGCTTTACAAGGCAGGCGCTTATGCCGCTGAGCTAAATCCCCAGGCCCAGCTCTCTGAAATTTTAATGTAACTAGAGAAAGATACGGAATAACTAGCAAGACTCCATAAATTCACTGTAATTTAGGTGACAAAAGGGCAAATACATTCTAGGTGGTTTTTGTGGGGGGGTGGACTTGCTCGGTTCACGATGGGATAATACAACGCATTTCATATTTTTCTTAACCTTCAAGTATATGTAGTTAAGTATTTTTGTTTTTAAAATACAAGGTTACATTTTTCTGGAACAAATACTAAATATCCAGAATGACTGTGTATCTTATAAAAAGTTGTATTGTGCTCAAAGCAAAAAAGCAAATCTCTTGGCTAAAAATGAATATGGGGGGAAATATTTCCACGTTCTACCCATAACCATACCGTAAACAGTCAAGTGTTTTGACAAAGATATGCTATTTATTGGTTATATCCAAGAATGTATCAAAGGGCTTGGTAAATTTCATAGACTTTGTATTAAAGTCTTATTCCTTAACATTGCCTTACACACACTAGTGTTAAATTGTGAAGACATAAGTCTTAGTGTAAATAGTAGATTTTTTCATACCAAGTTCTTAGGTAGAGCATCATTTCTGTGTGCTATTTAATATATATATGGTAGAGAAACTTGAAGTTACTGAAATTTAGTCTGGCTCATCTTGAATGTGTTGTCTGGTTTTTTCAGTTGGTCTTTTCTGTTTTGCATTATATGCTATGTTGCCTGATTACAACTTTGATCAAATTTAGGTGTGGATCTCACTGATCAATGTGAGTTTTGAAACTATTTGTAAGATTTATTTCATTTGGCAATTGTTAACTTCAAGGTTTCAGGTTGTTTTGTTTGAGCAGAGATTAGAACAGTTGAGTTAAACTACTCCTTTTTGGACGATGTTAATTTTGGAAAGCATTGAGTCTATTGAAGTTTGAATGTTAAGTCATGTTGAAGTACATTAATCAAGGATCAGAAATCGAGGATAAATTAAGACCATTAGAGTGACTTTTCTATAGAGTTGTTAGTTCCTTTAGGAACTTAGTCTAAATGTGTATATTTAATTAGCATAACTTGGACAGCACAAGATTAATGCTTTAACTTGTTTGCAGGAGTTTAAAAAAGCTGGTTTCTGTTGCCAATAGTTGGTTGGAAGGGAAAATGGAGATTCCACACATAAAATTTTTTGGATGTGCAAAACAGTTTTGATTTTATTTCTTACAAACTGTAGGACTCCAAGCCCCTTGATTCTTGATCAGAACTACATTAACACCAAAAACCAAGTTATCAAAGCAGAGAGGAGGGTGCTAAAGGAGTTGGGATTTTGTGTTCATGTCAAGCATCCTCATAAGGTGAGTTGTAGAATATGTAAAGTTGTATTTCGTAAGTATTAGGGCATTTCCTAAAATTGTATTTTACTTGAGTTTATATTTTTATTTATGTGTGCATATATATTTAGCCACGCATGGTAGTATGGACCAATAATCCCAGCAGTAGGGAGGCTGAAGGCAGGAGGATTGCCACAAACTCAAGGCCTGTGAACTACATACATAGAGATTGTCTCAAAATATTATAAAAAATAAAAAGCATTGTTTTGGACATTGAGAATAATTAGTAAAATGGAAGTCAGTACATAGGTTCAAATATCCACTCTTCATCATATGATCTAAGTTCTTGTTGCTTTTATGGTTAAGTTACAGTTTTCCCATCTGAAATACTAGGGTGGTAGAATACTTCATTCTAAGAAATAAGTATGTGACTGCAGGAAGTAGCTGGTGTGCTGCCAGAATACTGAAGTATTCAAACTATAGTTGTTGTTTACTCTTACTATTTTTTAAAAAATGATAGCTTTTCCCCATCATTCCTTAGTTTTTGTATTACCAGTACGTAAACAGTAGCTCAGTGGTTTGCTACATTTGAGTGCTTGAATCCAAGACACTCAGGAATAAAAATTTGTCTCTTGTTAACTGTGACGTTGACAGCTACATGTCCCTCAGCTTTCATTTTTAAACTTGTAGAATGGAAATTATGGTAATAAAAGAGTTATTTATGTGCAATTTCTATTTATCATATAGCAGTATGATAAGCTTCATTGCAGATTGTTTACTGCAATATTTAGGTTTAATATAACAGAAAATATATCTACTATAATAAATAATGTCTCCCTATGGTTTTGGGAGCATGTGAAATGTGCCTTAATAAATTAGATAAAATAGTCTAGCACAGTGCCCTTTACATATAGTAAAGTCTGTGTAAAAAAAAGCTTTATTTCCGTACTGTGAATAAACCAAAGGCCTGACACATGCTAGTCAAGTGTTATACCATTAAGAATATTCACAACCCAATTTTTTGGTTTATTTTGTTTTGAGTGGATTGTGTATTTTTCTCCCTTTACAGTTTTGCAATACACTAGTAATTTTTGTTGAACCTAGTAGTACCATAATAACCTATGTTGAACTCAAGTGTCTTGTGGGTTGGTATATATTATCTATTCCGTTTATAGAAGAAATAAAGCTTGTATCTAACTTTCCAGTTTATTGATGTCTGTGAGAAAGAACCACTATTATGCTAAGTTGAGGGTTTTTTTTTTTTTTTTCCCCCTTGTCCTTCAGATCATTGTTATGTATTTACAAGTCTTAGAATGTGAACGTAATCAAACCCTGGTTCAAACTGCCTGGTAAGTTGTTTTTTTTTTTTACATTTCACTCCTAGCCAGGAAAACAGAAGCAGAAATAAAGTAAGTTTCATTTTCTTTTCCAAAATAATGAGATAAGTTTGGGTTGTTTTTTGTTTTGTTCTTTTTGTTCTTTTTTTTGTTTTTAATTTAACCAAAAGGTAAACAATGCTTATTTCTGCTTCCTGTTTTCTTGGCTTGACTAGTTACTTTTAATGGAGAACTCAATTTAACTTTGTTCTTTTTTCTACTCTTTAATTAAAGGGTAGTCCATGATGGTAAGTCATAGAACTCTGCCCTCTGCACTTCAGCCCATGACCTCAGGATGGCCTGATTGGCTGCCCTGCTCTCCAGCCAATCCAGTGCAAGCTCTCATCCGAGATTCACTGAAGTGGTCCATATCCATCTGGCAGCATCTTCTAGTTCTGTCGGGGTGTCAAAAGGATTTGTATATTTGCTTCTAGAAGTAACTATTCAACATGCCTATGTTATTTAATGTATACCTGTAACTAGCAACATGAATAGTTCATTTTTGATAAATTTGTTGTCCAGCCATTATGAATTAAATGTTCTTTTTTTTAAATTAGGAGTTTGGCTATATTTCTATATATAGTGTGTATAGCATGAATTCAAAGAAGCTAAAGCCTGCATCTGTAAGTGGGTACCACTTCCCATGCTGCGTTAATTTACAGTTGCTGTACTGTTGCAGACAGTGTTATTATTATAATTAATACTCCATCTTAAAGTGCTTTTTAACTTGGACCTTTGAGATGCAGATGTATGTTTTGGAGTGCTAGCTAGGATCACACAAGGAGATTGTGGTTCAGCTACAACTCTTCATAAGATACTGATGTACAAGACTTAATTTTAATTTTTGTGTCCTGAATTTTTCCAGCAAAATGTCATTTTTATGACTGCCGTGCAATTTTTGGACTCCATAAATATATAGTAATATCACAAAAATTTCATTCCTTTTATAAAATGCATGACTTTTTGTGTTCTACAAAAAAAAATTTCAGTTTTTATGAATAAGGACTTTAAAATCATTTAGTTTCAGCCTAAATAATCTGTACAGTTTTCGCTGAAGAATATTCATGGTGAGGGCTCACTAAAAATTCCAGCAATTTATTAATTGAAGTAGTTTATTGCTGTTGTTTGTACTGCAAAAAAAGGTAAGTAAACAAGGTAATTATATTTATTGCTCTTGACTTCCCTACCTAGATTTTTCTCAGTTTTGTTTCTTAATGAAAGTATAAAGTGTATTTTTACTCATCAGTTATTTGGAGTTTTTTAAAGAACTTTGTTGGCATTGCTTTTCATTGTGGATAAAGGAGAGATGGTCAATAATTATGGCTTGAAGTATTACTGGAGTGGTTTATCATTTCTAAAAATAATCATGTTTTAACATAATTAACTTAAAAAGCATTACTTATTACAGAAATACATTAAACGGTAACATGACTTATTGAACGGGGCTTTGGTCATGTAGACAACTAAAGAATGGTCCTAATGTTACATGCAATCTTAATCTACTAATTTTCCGAGTTGAGAATTGTTGTATGCTAGAATATGGGGACAAGAATATAAGAGAAGAAAAAAGAATAAAGTAGATTGAGTCTCCAAATTAGTGTAAGCTTCAGAAGAACTGGTCTGTTTACATAAAAAGCTTATAGTTGAAATATTTTTCAGGAATTATATGAATGACAGTCTTCGAACCAATGTTTTTGTTCGCTTTCAACCAGAGACAATAGCATGTGCTTGCATCTACCTTGCAGCTAGAGCACTTCAGGTAAGTTTGCGTATCCTGTTTTGTGCTGTGGATTAGGACCCTCAGCAGTTCCAGTTAAAAACTAGCAACAATTTGATCTAAACATTCTCTTTTCATGTCTTAGATTCCATTGCCAACTCGGCCCCATTGGTTTCTTCTTTTTGGTACTACAGAAGAGGAGATCCAGGAAATCTGTATAGAGACACTTAGGCTTTATACCAGAAAAAAGGTACTGTTTTTACTCAAATTGGTACTAATATTGTCAGTGACAAGAAACTAAACACTAAACAGAAAAGTAACACTAATTTGATTTTCCTTCACCAGCCTAATTATGAATTGCTGGAAAAAGAAGTAGAAAAAAGAAAAGTAGCCTTACAGGAAGCCAAATTAAAAGCAAAGGGATTGAATCCTGATGGAACTCCAGCCCTTTCAACACTTGGTGGATTTTCTCCAGCTTCTAAACCATGTAAGATTCATAACTTGAAGCTAATTTATACTACTGGATATCTGATTGGAGCCACAGATGCAGAATCTATGTTGTTCTTACTGAAACACAGCATAGAATTAACATTAAACTTAAAATCTAAATTATAAGTGCCCTCCCCAAAGGAAATTACCTGAAGACACTGAGTTTTATCTTTATTTGAAAGGTTCAACATGTATGTTTCTTAGAAACAATTTTATTAAGCTGTAAATGTCTTCTCTGCTAGCCATTAGTTAAAGGTGGTGATACCTGAAAGGATAGTATTTTCAGTTGCAGTTGGAAACTTTTAGCCCTTTCTCAAATCCAGTAGTTGACATATTATTATGTCTTTCTAAAGCATCACCACGGGAAGTAAAGACTGAAGAGAAGTCTCCTATTTCCGTTAATGTGAAGACAGTCAAAAAAGAACCTGAGGATAGACAGCAGGCTTCCAAAAGCCCTTACAATGGGTAAGTGTACTTGAATTAGAAAACTCATTTGAGGACTCTAGTTTTTACTTCAGTATTAACTAAAATGTTTGTTTTTGAAGTGTAAGAAAAGACAGCAAAAGAAGTAGAAATAGCAGAAGTGCAAGTCGATCAAGGTCAAGAACACGATCACATTCTAGATCACATACTCCAAGAAGACAGTAAGTACCTGATTCCTTAGGGAAAACATTGTTATTTGGAGTCTTTAAAGATCATTGCTCTTATGAAAAGATTGGACTTAGCCCATTTTCAAAGTCAGGCTAGGATTAAGGTTTTAAACATGAAGTGTATTACAAGAAATGTGCTTGGGGGGTGTATTCTGGATGGGTGTGCTTGGTTGGTTGATTTGTGGGTAGTATACCTAATGACATTTTGTATTTGTGTGTTTTTTTTTTTTTTTTTTTTTTTTTTTTGAGAAGTGTAGGGGCTGCCCAAAAAGTACTGTAGAAGTATAGAATACCCTGTTTATAATGTGAAAACAATGTCTTCCCATTCCATTTTCAGTTAGAAAATTCAGTTTTTCAGTAATGTCTTAATAACCAGTAAGGTAACCAAAGACCAAGAATCTTTCCTGCACAGTTTTGTATTAGAGTGCAGATATCTTGTGGCTCTTCAGTCAATCATGTGAAGATAGCATAGGCTCTAGGATACTTTGTAAAATTGCTAGTTCTCACCTTAAAACGTGGAGTGCGTTTTTAATTTAATAGGCTTCAGTGAGGTAATTTGAGGGATGGGAAAATTTAGGAAAGTTTTTAGTTTCTGGCTTATTTATTAATTTAGTCAGGTTTTTAAAACTTGTTAATGAACACAACTAATAATTACTGTTCACTGTAGAAACTGAATTCTAAGCCTCAAATTTTTATTACCTAAGTTACAATAATAGGCGAAGTCGATCTGGAACGTACAGCTCAAGATCAAGAAGCAGGTCCCGCAGTCACAGTGAAAGCCCTCGAAGACATCATAATCACGGTTCTCCTCACCTTAAGGCCAAGCATGCCAGAGATGATTTAAAAAGTTCAAATAGACATGGTCATAAAAGGAAAAAATCCCGTTCGCGATCTCAGAGCAAATCTCGGGATCACTCAGATGCTGCCAAGAAACACAGGCACGAAAGGGGACATCATAGGGACAGGCGTGAACGATCTCGTTCTTTTGAGAGATCCCACAAAGGCAAGCACCACAGCGGCAGTCGGTCAGGACACAGCAGGCACAGGCGCTGACCTCCTTAGAGCCTGCGTCACTTCCTGGTTTTACTATCCACAGTATGATGTATGGACTCGTAAACCATTAAAAGCAGACTGATTAGGTTTTGATTTCTTAAAACTCTAGGTCTCTAGAAACACTGAGGACATTTCCTTTGGAAAAAGAACTATGTTAAATTTTTTTGCACATTGAAATGCCCTAGCAGTATCTAATTGAAAACCATGGTCAGGTTCAATTGTACTTTATTATAGTTGTGTATTGTTTATTGCTATACAAACTGGAGCGTGAATTCTGTAAAAAAATGTATCTTATTTTTATACAGATAAAAATTGCAGACATTGTTCTATTTAAGTGGTTATTTGTTTAAATGATGGTGAATACTTTCTTAACACTGGTTTGTCTGCATGTGTAAAGATTTTTACAAGGAAATAAAATGCAAATCTTGTTTTTCTAAACTGCTTCAAATATCTTATTTAAATAAATTATTAAAAGACAAAATTTTACAGTAAAATGACTATACTGATTTTCTGACAAAGCCTATTTTTCTTATTCTCTGTTAGACTTACTAAATTGGGATTACTGAAGTAGTTTTTTTTTTTTTTTTTTTGTCTTTTTCTTTTTTATTGATACCGGGGATTGAACTCACAACCACACACTTGCAAGGCAGGTGCTTATGCCACTGAGCTAAATCCCCAGCCCTACTGAAGTAATTTTTACCTAGCTATGGCATGCCTGTAATACCAGCTACTCTGGTGGCTGAGGCAGGAAAGTTTAAAGCCAGCATAGGAGGTGTAGTGAGACCCTGTCTCGATGAAGAGGACTTGCCTAGTATGGGAAAACAACTGTTTTTAATACCAATACTGCAAAAAAGTCACTGTCTATATTTTGAGCTATTAACAGCCTTCACTATATGTGTGAGGAAAAAGCAGATGAGAGTGGCCCAGTAATGTAAACTTCGTAGTGCTAAACAAACTTCATAGTGCTAAAACTTAAAACCTGACGAATGGTACCAGAAGGTAATGTAAATAGGCTTTTAAGTACTTTTTTTTTTTTTTTTTTTTTTTTTTTTGTCTTTTTCATTTTTATTGGTACCGGGGATCGAACTCACAACTGCCTGCTTGCAAGGCAGGTGCTTATGCCACTGAACTAAGTCCCCAGCCCCTTAAGTACTATTTCTAAAGTATACTGCCCTATTTAAACCAGAATTATCATCATGACTGAAAGACTCATTGTTAGACAATGATTTTGTCTGGGCTTCAAGAGCTCAATAGTAAATTGAGGTCTCTAATCCTGCATGACTGATACAAGAAAAAGTATAGAAATGAAAAAGCCAAGACTCATACCCAAGTGAGTCAGGTTACATGGAAATGTGTTTTTCCCCAGCGGACTGGAAATAAATTATCTTAATGAATTTGATTTTAGTAACATTAAAATGTCTGTTTAATGTTTTTGCCCGCTTTATTTACGTTGTCCATTAGACTGGACTCCAAATGAATTGCTGGTTTAAAATATCAAATATAACCACAGAGAGGAATTTATTGCCATAAGGAAGCTTCTGAAGAGGTTTCCAAAGATGACTCAAATTTTCACCAGTGCTAGGTGGTGGATCTGGAAAAAGGTATCTCTGCAAGGCAACTTGGAAGGAAGCAAGACTCCCAAGAGTGTCTGGGGTCGGGTGTGGTGGCGCTCGCCTATAGTCCAGCATGGCAAGGCAGAAGCACCAAGGTGAGTTTATGGTCAGCCTGAACTGCGTAGTGAGACCTGTCTTCCCCCACAAAAAAGATGTCTGCTGTGCTACTTAAGTCAGTTACATTTCTAACTAAAAACTAACATGCTGCATGCTTGTAAATACTCATGCTGTTTAAAAGCTAAGGCAGGAGGATCTTAACTTTGAGCCTAGCCTGGACAATTCAGTAAATTTGTGAGATCCTGTGTCAAACAATTGATCTAGCTTAATTTGTAACTCACGCTAACTTGAAAGAGGTTTGATAATTCACTGGAACTTACTTCAATGACTTTATACATAAAATTTACATTTATTTTAGAAAGTGATTTTCTAATAAACATGGTTTTTTATATTTCTGAGCTACAGATATTTCTGAAGGACAAATTGCTTCTTAAAAAACTTAGAAGACAGGCTCTGAAGAAAAATGTCGACAGAGGTCCTACTGGCAAACAAAGCTTGGGTTCTTAGTGTCTAAGTTGCTTCCTTTGTTAGGATAGAGAACTGTGGTTGAGAGTTGTTTGTGGAGATGGAAAGTTGAGGTACATCTTCATGTGTGAGATTTGCATGTTAAAGGTGCTTGTAAGAGTTGGCTTTGCAGGCTAGACCAATGTGTCTGTCAGGGTTCTGATTTTTGTTTCTTCTGTTGATGAAGTAATTTTCTAAGTTCTGTTCAAGAGAAGGCAGCCTTATGCTACTCTACATTTTTTGAGACAGTATCTCCATGTGTGCAGTGACCCTTCCTCAGCCTCCTGAGTGCCGAGATTAGGGTTGTGCCACCACCATGCCTGACTTCCATCTCTGATCAAAACATTAACAGTGTGCTGGCTGAGGATGTAGCCCAGTGATAGAGGGCTTGCCTAGCATGCACAGGCCCTGGGTTCCATCCCTAGCATCAGAAAAAATTTAAAAACCCTACATTTTCAAATTCGGACATTCAAATGGAAGAATACCTAT